CTCCAGAAATACTTTTATTTCTTTCTTAATTTCTCTTTTGACCCATTCATCATTCAGGAGTGTGTTGTTTAATCTTCTTGTGTTCATGTGGTGATTAGGGCTTCTTTATTGCATTGTGGTCTGCTAGAATACATGGAATTGTTTCAGTTTTTCTGTGTTTGTTGAGGTTTGTTTTGTGCCCCAGTATATGGTCGATTTTGGAGAAGGTTCCATGGGGTGCTGAGGAGAAAGTATGCCCTTTGGTGCTTGGGTGGAATACTCAGTGGATGTCTATTGAGTCCATTTGATATATGGTATTATTTAACTCAGATGTCTCTCTGTTAACTTTCTGCCCTGTTGACCTATTTAATGGAGACAGTGGGGTATTGAAGTCTCCTACTATTAATGAGTTGGGATTAATCTGGGTCTTAAAGTCCTGTAGTATTGTTTTTATGAAGTTGGGTGCACCAGAGTTTGGTGAATATATGTTCGTGGTTGTAATATCTTCTTGATTTATTGTTCCTTTGATCAGAATGAAGTGGCCTTCTTTATCGCTTCTGATTAGTTTTAGTTTAACATCTATTTTGTCAGATATTAGAATTGCTATGCCTGCTTTTTTCTTAGTACCATTTGCTTGATATGATTTTTTCCATCCTTTCACTTTTAGATAGTGTCTGTCCTTGAAAGTGAGATGAATTTCTTGCAGACAACAAAAAGATGGGTTTTCTTTTCTTAATCCATTCACCTAGTCTGTGTCTTTTGACTCTGGAGTTCAGTCCATTAATATTTAAAGTTATTAATGAGTATTAAATCCTGTCATTTTTATTTCTGTTTACATTCTTGATATAGCTGCACTTTTCCACAGTTATACCTTAATTGAATTTCTTTACGCAAGTCATTCCTTTCTTCAGCTCTTTGTATTGCTTCCAGAACTCTCCGAAGGGCTGATTTTGTGGACATGAATTCTTTCAGCATATATATGTCATGGAAGAGTTTTCTTTCCTCTTCAACTATAATGGACATTTTTGCTGAGTAAATTATTCTGGGCTTGCATCTATTGTCATGTAGAAATGGAAATACCTTGGTCCAGGCTCTTCTGGCTTTCATAGTTTGCATTGATCAGTCAGTTGTATAATGGGTTTTCCTTTATATGTGACTTGTTGTTTCTCTTTTGCAGCTTTCAGAATTGTCTCTTTGTACATGTAATCTTTTTACCATGATGTGCCGTGGAGAGTTTCTTTTCTGGTCCTGTCTGTTTTGTGTTCTATATTCTTCTTGTATTTGTATAGGCATGTCTTTCTTTAATTTTGGCAAATTTTCTTCCATGATTCTGTTGAAGATCTGGTCCATGCCATTATCTTGGGATTCTTCTCCTTCCTGTATTCCTGTGATTCATAAATTTGGTCTTTTGATGGTGTCACACAATTCCTGCATATTCCATTCTTGTGATTTCTTAAATTTTTCACAATCTTTGCTTGAGTGGTCTAATTCGT